GCCACGTGTTGATCAACGCCTAAAGCCTCATTGTACACCCTAACTGTCAACATACACGTCACTCGGGGTATGTTTTTCTTAGAATCTGAAATAATTGATAGTCGAATCATTCTTACCTGCATTAGTAAGCTTTTTCATATTTGATCCAGTACTACGTACATAAGAATCTATTTCACAAAACTCTACCCATCCTCCTGGTTTGGTGACCCTTAAAATATCATCTATTGTCGTCTTCCAATTTTTACGGGTGAATGCCAGACGAAGACCTTGTTGATGTACAAAATCAAAAGTATTGTCAGGAAATGGTATACCATGCAGTACATTGCACTGGAGAAAAGCGGAATTAGGTGGACAGTTTTTGGGAAAAATCGGCACCATGTCGATTCCTATGAAAGTGGATAATGTGTTTTCGGTTGATAAATCTACGATCCAAGAACCCGAACCACATCTTTGTAAAATGCGAAAAAGATACAGATGCAATGAGCGTTCACAGAAGGTAAACAGGAAATGATGATGATAGTAATAATCATAATCATAAAATCATAATAATAATTCACCCAATGTCTAAAGTCTTTATGCCGCCAGATTTCATGGATTCTTTAAGTGGAGATGAAAAATCCCCTTTAAATATATAACGTACAATGTTATGCAATTTATTTAATCTTTCGGCTTCTATATTATCCATTGGTCTATTGAAATATAAAAGTTATAAATAAAAGAGAATTAATAAATAAGCTGAAAATAAAAATTCCGGTATAAGAAAAATAATTTACAGCAGATAAACTGGCTTGTTGCCATTTTGATATTTCCTTCCGTCAATAAGTTGAAATAATTCAATGGTATTCTTGAAAAAAGAAGTAGAATTCTTGTCATCTTCATCCATTAAATTTATATATATAAAGGAATGCGGATCGATCGTCAAATATTCGAATATAGAGACGATGAAGTTAAGAACTATTGTGTTTAATGTTTGGGAAGACGAAAAATATAGTCTAATACTAAAAATTCTCTTTTATTCATATAAAAATTGAGGGAAGATCTTGCGCTTTTTTGGGAAACAAGTTTATACATTTTGATATACAGGGACAATTGTGGTTGGATTTACAAAGCATTTAATTGGCGGTGATGATGTTTAAACTTTACCTTCGTGCTATGAATTGGGTGATTTTTTTTTCCTGTTTTATTACATGCGTTTTTGTTTTCAGAACGTGTTTACTCGTGTAGAAAAGATTTTCTTTGGTTCATTGGAAAATTTCCAATAGACGTTCCACTAAATACAGGTATAATGATACAATGATACGGCGCACATTCTATAACATCCTTCGAAATTTAATACCTGAAGTTTGATGAGCATGCAGACAAAATATCAACAAATTAATGAAAAAGCGAGTATAAAAATAAACTTTGAAAACAATCATGCAAGCACTTATTCAGATAATTCTGTGTGTCATAAAATTGTAAATTATTATGTAACTTGATAAAGAATATACTTGGAAAAGGAAGTAGCTAAAATACTTCTTAATTAAAAATTTCGATAGGCTTCTTTTATTCAACAGCTAAAACAGGCTTTGATGATTTTATGTTCGTTATTTTGATAATATCTAAGTAGAGCATGCCATGAATTCGGCATGGTTTCATAGTAAGGTGCTGTATATAATAGGTCTCATCATAAAGCATTGAAATAAAAATATATGTAGTAATTGTCAGTTATCTATTTGTTTGATTTCATTAGTAATTGCATCAACCTCAGCATCCGTAACTAAAATTGAAAATATGCGGGAACTTTTTATGAAGCTTCCAGTAATTGGAGCCGCGTAAAATGATCAACAGGTTAATCTAATGTTATCTCTTCAGTTGACTGGTTAACCACGGTTTATAGTTACATATGATTATTTTTCTTTTAAAACTTTGCCATGTACAAAAATATTGTACATGTACATGCATACAATATCTGTTCTCTAAACAAGTGCCTTTTTTATAAAGATGGAAATCAATAATATTATCGTTACAAATAAGAATTTTAATCAATGTATAATCAATGTATTTTTATTTTAGCCATGTGAAACTTGCTAATTACATACATTCTAATTTATGTACATGTACACGTATATGTATGCTTAAGCTTAAAAGAGTCAATCAAAATGTCACCTAATTTTAGTCCGGTACGCGAATACATCAAATGCATGTGATTATGATATCGATGCTTGAAAATAGAATTTCTATGATGAATCATTTAACAATACAGGTACATGTAATATCTACGTTTCATATTAGACTCGTTTTTATAAAGTGAACTCAAAGATGTATTCTGAAATTCAGAATACGCGTACTAAATGGTTTTTGTCGAAACAAAAGATGATTTATTTTTTTTATTACAATAAAGTGAATGTAGATTTCAACCGTCTAATATAAAAACATGTAAGATTAGCATTATATCCATTTTGAACTATTTACAACGTTTGGAACAATGGTTGCATGATTATGATATGTGAAAACCACGAAAAGATAAGTTGACTTATTAAACAGTAAAGTTAGTTTATGAACAAAAAAATTCTTAAACTGCAAGCACGTTACTTAATGTTTTCGAATTCAAATATTTTGAATATATCAATTTCCTTGTGTAATTCAGTCTTGGCAATTCTATATGGCTAATTGGAATTAAGCATTTTCCAATTGAATTTTTGCACATGTGTCTAATTGTCCAATTCCTCGTGCCTATGCTCTGCTATTAAAATTTTATGTCACGCGTAAATTTAAAAATTAAGTTAAATGGAAAAGGAGATTTTTATCTCTATAAAAGAACATGAATATATTTTTGCGTTATAAAAATAAATAACCTTGTTCTAGTTATAATTTGTATCGAATAAGCTGGAGTGATGCCAACTCTAAATAAAAATTATAAATTTCGACGTTATCAACCATTTATAAAGTTCGGATCGGAACATTCGTTCGAAATCCAATACGGGAGAGCTGTCGAATCATAAGAGAAAGGATACTGCCAGTCCAGTCTTGGCAAGCCAAACATGAACACTTGTATTTAATTTTAATTGTAAATGTTAGAGTACGTATATCGATATACATGTATATTCTTAGCGTTATACGTCATTACGTATTGTTAACATTAAACATTAAATTCATTTCATAAGAATAATTAATTGATAAAGTATATAATTTAGAAACATTGTTGCGATTGACGATTCTATTTGTTCCATCAAAGAAAAATAGGAATGAATTATCAAAAAAAAACAAAGCACAAGAGTTTTACATTCGTTTAGAATATATTGTAAAACTGATATTTAATTACCTTTATAAATAGAAAATGTTGATATTAAAGATAAACTTCAAATAAAAGATTTGGCTGATGTGGATGTATCGGTATCTGTTTTTCTCTATACATGCATTTGTAAAATCTGCAATTGCATCTTCACCTTGCTAGTTTGATACGTTTATAGATTGCTACATGTATTCTAAAGAGCTGCAGTATTAAATACAAAAAGATTTAATATCTTGTTTGTAAAAGACGTATGAATCGATATAGATGACAGAGCTGAAGTTTCTCTTCTGTTGGCGCGTTTTCTGAATAAGACCTCCATATTAAATTTGTAATATCAAGAAAACATTAGTTTGCATCATGAATCGATCTCTTTTTAATTATCGTATGCAAGACATCTTTTGTGACTTCGTTCACTGAGCTTCTGTTCGTACATTACATTCTCGGTATATAAACATCTTAAGGTAGCAAATATTTGTGGCTTGAGTGAGTGGTTTTCATTTATCGTCTCCGACTAATAAAAGAATAAATTTTTCTATACTTGAGTCTGCATTTTTCTATTTCGACAACCAATAACATGCCAAAATCCTGACTTCTCCAAATTTAGATTCAAAATCCTGATACGTATTGTTATACTTTCTAAATGGTCATTTTAGGTTGCATAAAGAAATTCGACTATAGCTAAAGTCTAAGTCCTATGCCAATTTCTACTGAAGAGACATAAAATATTGGAGAAGATATGTTGATAATACTGATATTTCTATACTAGAACAATCACATTATACTGTAACAATCTGAGCTTGTCATTACAGCTCTTTAAACATTCTTCGTTTTACAATAACATTACTAAACCTAACCCTAGCTTTAATTCAATTCTCACGATTCACCCATGAACAATAGAGCAGCAAAGCAAAGCAAATCCAATACAAATAAATGAAAAAACGCTATGAGAATAAATGCTTAAATCAAGTTTCTTGTACATATAATTAACATTTTGGGAATATTCGACAGAGGTCAGGCAAATTGGATAAATTTCAGAATTTTTGACCGTCGTTATTTTGGATTTTTGGCAGTACCAAGATTTTGAAATGTCGGTTATGGTTGTCAGGATACCCTTCTCGCTAATATTTCCAGAGAGAAAGTACAAATTCTTTTTTGTCAATAAATTGAATTGCTCATTAACAATTCTCAACAGCATATAGCAAACGTTATGATGCGATTGAAAAAAAATGTAATCCTAACTATTTAAATAAAATTCCCTTTGGTCTACAAAGAATGGCATCCGAATAATGTTTTATACTTCAATAGCCAAGAATTAGCCAAAGAATGGATAAATCTTTATATCAAATTATTTATTTAAATATAGTCAACCTCGATGAATCGAAGTGGTCGAATCTATTAATAGGAATTGAAAATCTAGTTTATTAAGGGAGATTTACTATAATGTTCCTGGAATCATTTCGATTTATCGAAATTCAATTAATACTCAAGCTTAAGGAGGGTCCAGCTTATCAAGGTTTGACTTATTCATGTAGTGTGTTTTTAATAAGCTTTCATTGTATTTATTCTTTCGATAAAGTCTCAATATAATAAGACAATTTAAAAGTTAAAGTCATCGATAACAATAAATTCAAACACTCCCTGTGCAGTAGATCAAAATGATTAAGGATTTTCAGAATAAGCCGAAATCTACATTACAAGACTTAGCTATCCTAAAAAAAGAATTCTGGTTTAATCTTGATAAAATATTGTAAATTACAAATGGCTCAAAGATTAAAATTAAATTTATACATCTTTTTGTATTTTGGCATTGTTATGAAAACTGGAAGGAGAATAACTCTATGACTTTAATAATATGGGCACATATCGATATATTTGCTAATATATATTATTGATACTAAAAGATCATGATAATTTACTCTCTTATTTTTCTATATTCTTCAGCATATATTGTTGATAATTATGATAACTTTTTTTTCTTCATTCTTCAATATAATCATTCACACAAATAGGTTACATGTGTATTTTATACATTTTAAATTGCAGTACTTTTGTCATACATAGCGAGAATTAATTTATGCACGTTTTGAAACGTGTTCTGGGTTTCACATGTACATGTAATTTGTTTGTAAGACTTAAATTTTTTATTTGTATCAAATAAAATGGGTTTTGAAACACTATTACGTAAAAAAGATCTATGATAAAATTAATCCAGTAATAACTTCACATGATCACACTTTATACAATCAAACTCTGTACATGTGCAGAGGGGTGACAAAAAATTAATAAAACATAGCAGAAATTATCTCTTCATATAAACTTTTTAATCTTATTAATAAATATATATATTTTTTTTAGGTCAAAGTAAAGACAAAACCTATATCTTGACATGTAATTTTTCCAGATTTTTCAGATTTTTTTTGAAAGTTCTGTTCTAATTGCGAAGTGATCACAAAAGATCTTTATAATTGAAAATGAAGTTTGATTATAAAAGATCTTTTGTGGTCACTTGCAATTAGAACAGAACTTTCAAAAAAAAAAATCTGAAAAATCTGGAAAAATTCATGTCAAGATATAGATTCTTGTCTTTACTTTGACTTAAAAAACAAAGATATTTATTTATTAATAAGATTAAAAAGTTTATGAAGAGATAATTTCAATATATCGATATGCTATGTTTTATTAATTAAATTTTTATGATCGTCCTAATTTTTTTCATGTAAAAGGGTAGGAATCTGACCTCCACATTCTTATATCACACTTTTTGCTGTTCCTGAATGGTTGTATATTTAAATATCATGAAATGAATACGTAATATATATTTTTAGAAAATGTGAACAATATAGGAGATGAAGCTAAAGGATCTAGTTCTATGACAACAAAGAATACAAAAATTTTCTACGGAGAATGAAATTAAAAAGATTCCGAATTTTATTAATAGTTAGCTTAGTATATTTTGATTTGTTTAAAATATTAGATAATTAAAGTTCGCAATTACATGTGCAAACTTATAAAAAGAAAATCTTGTGTTATAGCCAGAATATAAATGAAATTTTAATATAACTTATACCCAAGTCTCTGTGTAAATGATATTTGTTCTTAATGTATACCAGATATTTCGCTCAGCAAAATAAGGCATTACATATATTAGGTTGTAATCACTCTTCCACATAAACTATACATGTAAAATGTTACCAAAATCCATGCCAACAATTAACCCAACCATAAAATTCCTTGCAATGGTAAAAATATCATTTCTTGCAGCATTCGAAGGTGAGCCGTCTATATTATTAATACTCTGAGTAGGAGAAGTAAGAATGGCTGGTTGGTTTGTATCAACTGTAAAACTGATGCCGCTTGTTGTGGTTCCTCTATAAATATGATAAAGTCAAAAAGATCAGTTTTATCATAGTTTGCTTCACTCTTGTGCAATGCAGAGAAACAATAATATCTTACAGCATTTGTGTCGGTGTCATTGTTGTGCTATACAAGTAATGATAGTTAATAATCAAGTCAAAAGTAACACATGTAAATGGTAACAAAAAAATTTAAATATTAAACTAGTGAAATTTTTATTTTCTGGAATTACTTGAAGAATTTTCATTGCTTGTAGTATTGTTGTTGCCATTACCTTGTGTTGCTGGTACTTGTAGCTATGGATATAGAACTAGTTATAGGGGCCTTAGAAGATATAGGCGTTATAGGAGCACTTTTTAAATATAAAATAGTCGAATTGATAAATGAAACATTGTAAAATAAAAGTTATATCAAAAAAATGCAATCTGACGTTATCTGTAGTTCAGCAATAGACTTTACGATCAAAAAATACGATAGCAATATGAAATGGTAAATTATTTTCATTTTCCTTAACTAAAAAAATGATTTATTTTTAGTCGATTTGGATTATTTTCAACTGATTTTCAGCTAATTTTTAATGAAAGAAATAAAAATCAGATCTTTGAAACGACACAAAAGAAGAAGAAGCTATATCGATATGCATGTACATGTACATGTGTAATAAATCTGCCTGAGCAAATTTGGATGTTCATGACAATAATGGTGGTGGTGTATCGGATTCTTCGTTGCCATGCATAGATAGAATTTTCTATGCATATTTGTGTGTAAAGTTAGAAATTAACGTTAAGTAATTTTCGGCAAAATCCATATCCATCATAATTAACTTTTTAAAGTAGGATATTTTGAACTGCTCGCTGCTGTAAGCCATATCAGTACAAGAATGTTCAATAACGATGTGTTCAGTATAACGATAGCAGAAACATATATTATGTGGTGCATGTGCTCACGAAACAGCCGATAGATGTATTGTATTTATTGGAAACTAAATTTAAAATCGAAACATTAATAAATTCGAACAAAATTTCCTAATACTTTCACTACTAATAAATAAATCACTAACAGCGCAAGGCTACGACATCTACAATTTCAATGAGACCTCCCCGGGATTGATAACACAACAAGGCAGCGGTCAACATTTTGACGACTTTTCATTTTTTTTGGCTAGCAAAACAAAATTCAAATGTATAGAGCCACAACTATATTTCAGGATAATCCGTCCAGACTTGAATAAATGTCGATTTACAGTCGTATATGCAATCTTTGGTGTGTGAAATGTGGGGTACGAGTAATCAATATTTTGGTAGAGTTATGAAACCGCCGTATTCACTGGTGCCGTATGCTAATGTAACAAAAAGAATTGGTATGGATAATGATTATGATTATTATCGTACCAGATTACTGATGGATTGGGATGGAAACTTCAGGGAATGCGTGGCATTTGAAAAAAAATGAACATATATAGACATAGTCATTTTCAATTGGACATATAATATTTGGACTATGTCAATTCCGTTCAAAAACATGGAAATAATCCAAATGCCAGCACTGATTCTGTTAGTAATGTGCGTGTGACGGATGTTTATAAGATATTACCGAATAATACTTTATGGGGTGTTTCTACAGTTACTAATACAACTCTTAGTATTGTAACCACTAGTTTAACGAGATTTAGCTCTGGTGAATATTTACTCTTTCTACTACTCTTCGTTGAGCATACTAATTAAAGCATTGATAAATTTGGATAGATAATGGATACGGAAATCCTAAAATAAGCAGCTCAACCCCAGGAATTAACGCTACTGTTCCCAATGCCCTAACCAATATCACTTTGAGGTTCATAACATCTGTCGTACTATCGACTGGTAATATCTCAATCTACCAAACAGGCATAAATGGAGAAGATTTATTACGTCAAACAATTTACGGATTATCTGAATTGGCGTCAACGACAGATAACGCATCTAGTGTCTTATTCAAATTTTGGAGTACATTTAACCAGCCAGGGGCTAGTTACTATGTGTTAATGGATAATAATTTTGTGAAAACTAAGCAACTTGATGAGCCGATTCGTGGGATTGAGAAGAATGAGTATTGGTTATACAGTGGTCCGTTGTTTTGTCACGCTGTTTTTCTTAACTCTTTAGGTTATTTTGATAACTTTTTTATATTTTTATTAGATAATTACGCTGACAGTTATTCAGGTATAAAATTATTCTAAAAATTTTAATTTCTTAATATTTAATAATATAAAAATATTTCATTTAGATGGAACAACCTGTCTACTTCGATTAACTCGCGAAGGTCCTGACTACTTTAAAAGTTTATAAACAATGAGATAACTTCACTATTTACAGAAATCAGCAATGAATTATCCCGAATCACGCCAATTGAAGCGAATCGTCTCAGCACCTCAAAACGCTGGCAGAATGACGCTAAGACACAACAAGTTCTCATGGAATTTAAGGTTGAAGCATCCAAAAATTCAAAAATTAATACCAAGCATATAATTACAGATGTTGATAATTTGGTGCGATTTAAAGCTTATACACCAATATCATTATCAAATTCTTGAGACTTATGGATTTATGCCTGCAAGTTCGTAATTTTAATTTTGCATAGGTATTTATGGATAAAAGATATTAAACACATTTTATTTTTGTGTAGCAAATTTATGGGAAAAGTACAAATATCAACTTATTTATGTGTGTGGTGGAATAGTACTTGTATGCACGGCATTTTTGATTGCCTGTTTTCTGTATCCAGAAGTGAGTTAAAATTTTTTAGCGAGCATAATAAAGATTGATTAGCATACAATATCTTTTTATTAGGGAAGTAATTCGATTACATTGATTCTTGTGTGATTTCACATTTGATATTCTTTTTATTGCAAGATGTTCAGGTCTATTGTTATCCAAGGTAAATAAATTCATCAAATCTTATTTCATTTTGTTGTCAACCCAATATTTTAAACGATATCCAATTTACCGCTATGCGCAGTATTCTCATCCTTTGCCTCTCAGTGACATTCAATGGAATCTTAGCATTCCTAAACAACGAGAAACCGCGCAAAACCATGAATTCTCAAAATGGTTAAACACGAATACGCATATGACTACAATTGTCGCTATTGTCAGTGATGCTGATATCGATGCATTGAGAATAATTGGGTCACAATTCGTTGGACTAAAGATTTTTAGTGCCCCGTTTTCAATGTACAAGTAATAATGAATTTTATTTAATCTGATTGATTAATTATTGCGTTAAAAATTCACTTTATTAGCAAATGCTGTACACTATATATAGATCATATACAGAAAAAATACAATCGTATACGACATCATTCCGGTTATAGCATTTGCAGTAATCCTCATCTTTCGAACGTATCACGCATTCCAATACCGTGATATATACGCATCATCACAAAATCACCAGTAATTTCTATAGCAAATGAATCTTTACATATCGGGTCAGTGCCCGGGTCTGGTTTAGTTAGGCCCAAAATAACATCTTTTGAGAGTGTTCGTGGAGTTAGTGGTTGTAATGATTTTAGTAGCTAATTCTCATAAGAACAAAGCAGATAAGTTGTATTTTTTAATTTCTTTTTAGGTATTTATACATGTAATATTGTTTTTATATACGCAATAACTTTATATTATTGCCTGGTGTATTTTAAGTACGGTAATAATTACATATAAATAGTTTACTTGATATCGATAATTATTTCTTATTACTATTAGATTTGCTCTTTTAATTTCTAAAAATCACTTTATTATTAGTAAAAATTAACAAACCCAGAAATATTATACAAATAATAAACTTTTAAATGTCCAATTCGATAACGATAACGATAACTTGAATCTACACCGCAAATCTTTTTCAAATTGGTGGTGTGTATCAAATCACCTCTAGGTGTTTGCATATATTAAAATTCGCCTAATGGAACCAATACATCTACGTATCGATTCTTGAATCTGATGTTAATTGAAAAATTCGATATCAAGCAGAAAAACGTCTTTTTTTCATAAGTGACATTTCAGAACTATATAATTAGAGACCTTTGTACTCCAATGGCACTATTAATTTAATAATTAACTCCATATTATACATGTATGCTTATTCATATGATATAAGATCTATTGTTTATGTTCGACATTTTTTCGAGTTCTATCATTGCACTTACATTTGAATGTTGAATTAACATAGAAAGATGAGCCAATTCTATAATATAAACCTAAAATATCCAAGTTTTACAACATTATATTTCACAAATGATGTCTATTGGCTATATGAAACTTTCATCTAAAAATTTTGTCTACCGATTTTACTCCCCTGTAGAGATGATTTTTTTGAACCATAGCGATATATAAATTTTTTTCAAAAATTGACACAGATTACTATTAAGAAAAAAAATAATAAACTTTGTGTATGCTTAGAAATTTTTATTTAAAATATCCTTGCTTTTGATTTTTTATCATGATGTTTTGCTTTTTTCTTTATTCGATTATTGGTGTTGTTGCAGCCACTTAGATTAACCTTAGCATTTCCTGAAGATTTTTATTTACCGTATACTCGCGAAATAACTGGCACGGAGCGTTCTTTCGAAAATCGCACCCATTAAAAATAGCCCATTTGTTTCGAAATAACGCGCACCCATATAACAGTGGATTTTGCCATGCGTAAACATATAACAGCCATGCGTAAACATTGTAATTAATGATGACAAATGGTGAAACATTTCGTCATTCGTCAATGACGAAGTAATTTTGTTTTGACGAATTGACGGATGACGAAACCTATTCATTGATAAATCCTATGAACTATCGTATTACATAAGCTATATGTAATTTAGCGCTACATGTAAATAGTCGATTCAATAATTAAGTTTGGAAATTATCTGAAACTCAACATGTTATATTTGATAAAACTTTTCGTTAAGAAAATGTCAGTGGCGAATGAATTACATGTATGTGACAAATGATTTTTTGTATACATATGAATATGCATGTACTATTAAATTAGATTTGAATGAAATCATTTACATATCGATATGAAAAGTCGCAGATTAAAATGAAATTTTTGACCAAAATTGTAGATTATTTGGCCAAAATTATCATACATATGAAAATGAAGCCAAGTACCGCATCTTGACTCTTAAAAAAAAATAAAATTAGTACCAATTTTTTTCGTTTTTATTAACTTAAAAATTACAATAATACCTACCGACATTTGCGGAATCACATCAGGCGTGATGAATTTAAGCATTTCGATTCTCAAAGAGAGGAATAAGGTAAAGTTAGTAATTATTTTATTGTTAACTTAAAGATCAGAGAACGACGAATTCTATATACATGTACTATAATCCTTAAAAAAAAGGGGGACTGTTAGTAATCTTTTTATTAATTAACATCTATCATTGCTGCTTGCGGAGGATACTGCGGTGGCGAATTACAAGATGCAATACCTACCGTTATTTGTGACATTGCATCGGGGGATATTGAGCGTGACGAATCTTGAGATGCACTTCGATTCTTCGAAAAAATAAAGTTAGTAATTATTTTATTTAATTAAAAAATTAAAAACAATATTTACAATTGATTGTAGTGTTTACGAATTTTATAATATAATTTGATCCTTAAAACAAAGGGGTAAGACTAGTAATCATTTTTTTTATTAACTTGGTTAAACTAATATCTACCATTGTTGCTTGCAATGTGATGAATTATAAAATGCATTTCGATCCTAAAATAAGTACAAGTACGTAATTTTTTCATTTATTAATTTTATTGAAACTAACATCTATTGTTATTTGTAGCATCACATCGGAGGAGAGCGAAGTATATTTGGAGCCTAAAAAAGTAATGAGGTAAATAATTAATTATTTCATTTTATTAAGATTGATTTAATATTTACCGTGGTTTGCAATGGCACATCCAAGGATATTATGGCGAATGATGATGGATTTTGATCCTGAAAAAAAAATAAGTTTAATAAACTCGGAGCATCTTTAGCAAACTAATAAACAAAGTTGTCGTCAATGGGAATGACATTAATAATAATAATATCGATCCGTTTCTTATGACTATCTTCATAGTAGGCTTGGCGACAAGAAATATTTTAAACTTTAACGTCCGATGAGTTATGGACTTTCTTGAGACATTCATCAAGATTAGAAGGAAGCTGAACTGGTAATCGACCCAATAATTTGACTTATACATTCAAAATTTCCATGATCTTATTCATCGGATCAGTCATCAAATAGAGATATTTAACCATACATCGTAGATATTCCCTAGAGTTTCAAGTAACATTAAATGGGGTAACGTAGGTATTGAATTCATCATTGCATGAGCTCGAAGTATCAGAATCGTCGCATATGTGAATTGTTGGTTAATGATTATTTGTGCTATTGGTCGAAATACTGTATGTTACGAAAATGAATGCTGTGCTTGAAGACTTGATTATTGTTATCACATTGAATAATGCCCATGTCCACCAGCTATGCTCCCATTGAGATGGAAAAAGACTGATACAAACACAGGTAGGTTCCCTTTATAATCATATAATATTTGCTTCTTGAAGAGTGAGAGCTTTTCATTCATTTGCTTTTTTGTAGATGCATCAATAATGGAATTATATTGGTTCAATCATCCTCAAGGATGTGCTTCTCTTGTCGAGAATGATCCATCTGACAAACGACTTGATATTTCATCTAGTCTTGAGCTAGATAGGCATAGATCATCATTACATGTGGTTCACAAAGACAACCCAACTACTACATGTATTTAAATATGTAATGTATACATTCAATTTTCGGATCAATCCGAAGAATATTATTTGTTCCGGATAGTTTCGGATTTGGATTGAACCCGATTCGATCAATGTTTGATTCGAACTGAAATTTTCGGTTCGGATCAGATTGCGATCCTAACCGAGCCGAATGGAGCTTTAAAAGGAAGTCAACAAATTAAGACAAAACAGTTTGAATTAACATTGGAAAGACAAAAAGTTCAGAAAATGCAGTCAGAAATCGGTACTTCCAAATGGAAATTCATAATTGAATTACACTATTAATGAATTAGGATTAGGGTTAAGTTATTTTTACGATCATTTTAACAGACAAGTATAAAATAAAATTTCGCAAGGAATCTTTTATTAGAACACAAAAGTAATGTCATTGGCTATTTTTCATTTTGAATTTTTCGTTACACATTGATCATGCGATTTTGATTGGTTTACCCTGTTAAAAATCACGAAGTGCCCAGAACTTTACGATTCGCCAGGGATTCGAATGATCATAGTGTAGAAAGCTATGTTTTATTATTTCGCGCAATTGTACTAATGTCATAATTTTATCCGATATAGTCATATTGACTGTGGACTGCGGATTCTTATATATACTGTAAGTGGAATGAAACACAATCAAATAATATTGGTGACGTTCAACATCACGACAATTCGTATCCCAATGCATGATATCGTGATTTTGGCATTAGAATGCTATATAGCTGAAAAGAAATTTCATTACATTTACTATGTATTCGTTATATCAAAGTTCATTTTATCGAAATCAAACTATACTTTCTGATTTCGTACTTTCGGGGTGCCGTCTGTCGGGCTAATGAATTGTCAGATTTGTGTTTGTTGGGGCACTGAAACTTGATTAATCATAAACTATTTAACGAATATAATACAAAATCTCAAATACAAGTTTTGTTTCGTCTACATTGGTGGCATGTCACTAGCCGGAGTTACATGACACAACACTGCTTTAATATCATAATATTTATCAGGTTCAATAAAATCTGGCTTCGTAGCTTTGCTCTTCGGGAACTCTTGTTATAAATTTTGGTTTTTAGACTGTATATACATATCGATGATGCAATATATCATATTCAAAAGGTATCACTTCAAAATAATAATTAAATTCATTAATTCTAGCCAACTATGGATTGCACTATTCGTTTAATAGTCTATTTTAAACCCCACACTTGTATAGTTTAAATTCAGATTGCTTCGTTGGAGCAACCCAGATCAAAAATCTAGTTTGAGTGATATTAAATCCACTCCAGACATGTGTTCAATTTGGAGTGACATCGGAGTGTGCTACTCATTAACAGTTCAACATATTTTACCTAAAAAGAAGAATAAAAATAACCGAAAAAAAGTAGCCAAATATAGACAAAGAAAATTAAAGGAAAAAGTAGCTAAAAATAAACAAAGAAAAATAAAAGAAGATAAGTGTATGGTAGCTAAGGTAACAAAGAAAAATAAAACGAACAAGGGTTGTAACATTACGTAACTATTATTCGTCATAAACCAGTAGAAAAATTATGCGCATTCAAAAATAGACGTTAATCCGAAGATCTTTCATATCGATATTAAATGTGACCGAAGTCGCACAAAACCAATCAGATCACACAAATCACGTAAGACCAATTAAATTAAACACACCACATTTTAATCCGATGCAAGCACATTGTAACATGTATATACCTAAAAAACTTTAATACATTATATATGTTCTACATTTACATGTAAATATAGGAGTACATGTACATGTTACATGTATAACGTATGACGAATTAATTTTATTTGGTAATTTTTTAATGGGATGGATGAGTCCTTATGCATATAACAATGAAAACATACCCCGAATTGATAGTTTATAAAATTTAATAGAAAATTTACCAATCAAAGTTAGATTATTGTAGATCATTTCGTGTATGAGAAATATTTTCAAGATGTATAGAACATTCTATTTTACTTCTTGATATGCATGATTAGCATTCAGAATTGTCATTATCGTTATGAAAAAAATCCAGGAATGAATCAGATTTCTTTATATATTGTATAGCTTGGTCTTTTTTGCGTCGTTTCAAAGATTTTGTTTTATATGCGATTTATCTTTATTTTTCGTCGATACGGAAAATTTTGTTTTATATGCGATTTATCTTTATTTTTCGTCGATACGGAAAATTAATTGAAAATAATTTAAATCGAATAAAGAATATAAAAAATTATTTTTTTTAGCAAAAATTAAACACAAAGATGAAAATAATCTTCAGTTTTATATTAATTTCATGTTTCTCGACCGTAATATCTGAAATTCAGCACCCGTTTGCAACGTCAGAATTTAAATTTGTTATTTTTTTCGAAATAATTTTATTTTGCTATTATTTAATTTATTAATTTTTGATATTTTTATATTAAAAAGTGATCCTATAGAGCCTGTCACTGCTAAAAACACTGCAACTAACGCTCCAGCGCCTGTCACTCCTAAGACCACTACTTTTAACGCTCCAGAACCTGTCACTCCGACATCTAACGCACCACCTGTCACTCCTAAGGCCACTGCAGCTAACGCTCCAGTGCATGTCATTCCTACTCCGGAAGTTGTCACTTTTAAGTCCTCTATATCTAACTCTCCAGAACCCATAATCACAGATACAAGTACATATACTAGCAGCTGCAATCAAAATGATAACAATAGTGCTAGCAATGTTAATACTAATAATTCTAATAGCAATAGCAATAACAACAGCAGTAGTAACAACAATCATGCTAATTCTGATAACAATAATAATCAGGTTAACAATAACAATAGCAATAGCAACAGCAACAGCAACAGCAACAATAGCAACAACAATAGCAACAACAACAACAACAATAGCAGCAGCAACGACAGCAATAGCAGCAGCAACAACAGCAATAGCAATAGCAACAGTAACAGTAACAGTAACAACAACAATAACAATAACAACAACAGCAACAGCAACAACAACAGCAATAGCAGCAGCAGCAACAACAGCAATAGCAGCAGCAACAACAGCAATAGCAATAGTAACAGTAATAGCAACAGTAACAGTAACAGTAACAACAACAATAACAACAACAGCAACAACAGTAATAATAATAATAATAATAATAATAATAATAATAATAATAATAACAGCAGCAGCAACAACAATAATAATGCAGATAATGAGAATTTATCAAATAATAACACAAATAAAATTTCAGGAAATCTTCTTGAATCCTCTGTCATCGATGGATCAAAAACTAGTTTAATGTATTAAATTATTTTATTACCATTTACTTGTGTTATATTTCATTTGTCATGATTATTAATCATCGTTACTTTCATAGAACAACAGTAACTCCAACTACTACGACGCAAATGCCGTAAGCTATTAATTTACTTTTGTTGTTTCTCTGTATCGCACAGATTTGAAACAAAGTAGAATGATAAAACTGATCTCTCTGACTTTATCATATTTTATAGAGGAACCGTCATCAGCTTTACAGTTAATGCAAGTCAACCAGCCAGTACTCCTACTTCTATTGCTTCTACTCAGAAAGTTGGTAATGCAGGCGGAGCATCTTCGAATGCTGAAAAAAATAATGATTTTAAAATTTTGAGGAATGTTGTAGTTGGATTGGCAATGCTTGTTGGCATGGGATTTTGAGATATTTTATAATAACTAATTTGTCATGATTGGAAATTGAATTAAAACCAATAGCTATATTAGCACTTTTATTCGCAGAGCGAAATATCACATTGCAATATACATGTACATTATACCTTTCTTGATTTGTATTGGCATAAAAACCCATTTATTGTATCCGTTATATATATAAAAAGCATGACATACTAAGCTCAGATTGTGTGTTTATATTGTCGTATTTTGTAATCATGAACATGAAATTTTGTTTGCGGGCTTCAATTTGAAAAGAACCTCGGAAGAAATTGCCATAAGTGTTCCAGGAACGTAACCAAGTTTCGGCTTAACGAGACGAGGCTTATCTTCTCAGTTAACCGCTGCTTTCAAACGAATTTTTTACTCCCAGTTCAGAGTTTTTACTAATATATTATGGTAGGTATTATTTGTTCTGAAATAATAAACCATTTTACGTTGACGAG